CTCATAGATCAATACAAAGCGAAACTAATGTTGTCATCGTTGTTTTCTCTCAGATTTGCTTTGCTTCTGGTTTTTTCTTCTCAAAATTTCGTTACTGCCCTGATTGGATTTTATGATTTATGGGTTTAATGAATTTTGTGTTGAATTTAGTAAGATGGAGGAGAATTCCTGGCTTTTGCAATTTGCAGAAACATCTACGGTGCTTGGTGGGTATTTCCTTAGTTTTTAGTGAAAAAAAATACAACTTAACTGAAGGAAGTTGAGGTTCCACCCCAAAACCAATTGGCAATGGGGGGAGTAGCCCAACTCCTTATAAACCCAGGCTAGGTCCCTTAACATTTCAATGTGGGACAAATACTCTCAACATTAACGTAGTTAATTTTCTGTTAGTGGATGGACAATTTAAGACAATTTAAAATAAAAGATTTTAAGGTAAATGAGTTTTGTGAAAACAATTTAAGAGCTAAGACCAACAATCACCGACCCCACCGACAACCATACTCCTCTGGGATAAATAAAAAATATTGGTAAGTTAAATGGTTTTTTATTTTTATTTTTATATGTGCAGAATGAATTAATAGAGGAGGTGCAATTATTCGCATGCAACTAGTGGTAGTCTCATGCATGTATGCACAACTTTATTTTCTAAGGAGACGTTGTATTAGTAGGCTCCATCTCTATTAGAAAGATAATACATAAGATGATTTATATATGGTCTCCCATAACATGACTCATTTTCAAAAGGAAAATGTTAGGCTTACCACATTTTTATACCACATTGTGTACCACCTCTCTAATAGAGATGGATCCTATTGTATTGGTGGGCTCCACCTCTATTAGAGATGTAGTATACAATGTGGTATATAAATGTGGTAAGCCTTGCATTACCCTTTTCAAAATATTCTCTCTTTGATATATCTCATCAAGTTAAAGTGGTGCTTATCGTTTTATATATGCTTTTCATTCTTGTCATGCATACAAAAGTAGAAATGATTATAGAAGAGTACGGTAGTACAATCATATGGTACATCTTGTACACGTATGATAATATAAGTGGATATATATTTATTGATAATATTCCCTAAAATAGGGAAAAATAAACCATATTATCCACCTATATTATAACACATGTACAAGATATATCACGTGACCATATTACCATATTATTTTATAATTATTTGGCAATTCATACTGCACGTGGGTCCTTCTCAAACTTTATTTATTATATTCTTCAGTCGTCTCAAAGTGCAACGTTTGGCATCACAATTAAAGCAATCCAATTGTGCCTTGCGGGACCTTATTTTGTAACATGTCATTTTGCTTGATTCTATTACAAATTGAAGCTTTTTGATTAATACGGTATCAGAATCTAATTGTCGGCGAGATTTGAAACCTCAGATCCAAGTATGCTCTGGGGGCTTGTCCTTTATTGAAGAATTTGGTTTGCGCTGGGGAATGTGAACATGGATACTCTTTCAAAATCTGATAATTGATAAACAAAATGAAGTGATGCTTAACTGCTTTATGCTTTTTATTATAAGGTGAAGACTCAAGTTATGCCAACGTGATATGGATGTATGCATGGAAAATATTACCTTCAAATGATTAATTATCAGTAGATTGAGTATTGACACATGCTTTAATGCATTGAAAATATTACCTTCAAATGTATGCATGGAAAAGCTTGAGCTTGTGTTATATTCAATAAAGTCTTGAACACATGCTTTAATGTCATGTTTAGTGATTAGTATTGGATTTGATTTGATAAATCACTAAATTTAAGGTATATTGAAGGAGAAAATGAAGGTATGGGTGAATGACTTAGATTAGGAGGCTACTCAAAAATGTTTTTTGATTTTTTTTTTTATACAAACGATAATCTACATTAAATTCATAAGATAATTTGAACTTTCCAAATAATGTAACCGATGTATGCCAAATATGCATTATATGTTTGTTTTAAACAAGGGAGCTGATTTTCCCACTCCCCTTTTCTCCACTTACACTCCCTTCTGGTTTTTAGAACTTTTTAATCAATTTTGTTTTTTTTATATTCTCTTTTTACTACTCTACCCTTACCATTCATTAGGAAAGTTAAATAATAAATCAAAAATCAAAAGAAAAGAAAATATATCTCTCTCTCCTCCTAGCCTCCTCCAGCCCGACTGCTACCTCCAGCTCAACTTAGCCACCCAGCCATCCTAACCATCAACTACCCAAACTCAACATCAATTCACCCCCACCCACACCCACCTTCCCAGACCCCTAATATTGCAACCAAACTGCGATCCCAGCCCCACACCCCAATCTTACTCACATCACTCATACTCAAACAAATAATCAAACCACTAGAAAATTTCATATCAATTCCAAGAAACAAATTAAATTGAACCCAACCCATCCATCTTTAAATGATTTATGAAAGTAAGAGCGACATGGACCGAGAGAGAGAGTGCACGAGAGAATCATCCCCACCCCGACGCATCCATCTCCAATAGATCGTCGGTGTTGAAGGCCAGATCTAATGGGGTCGGGGTTTAGAGTGACATGCTGGGTTTTGGGGTTGAATCTGGTATTGTGCCTTCGTATCAAGTGATGTGAAGGTGCCGGTGGTGGTGGTGCTGCTGGGTTCGCCGAAGGAGGAGGGGGGTGGGGTGTCTTGATAAATTTTGGATGGAGAGAGAGAGAGAGAGAGAGAGGTTAGATGGATGGGGCTGGGGCTGGGGCTGGGGCTGGGGGAGGCTGGCCAGTGCAGCTGTGTTTCGGGGGTTGGTGATTGCTTAGGATGGAAATGGCGTCGGGATTAATGGGTGGGGTTGGGGTTTTTTGGTTTAGGGCTGGATGAGGCTAGGAGGCGAGAGAGAGAGAGATTTTCTTTTCTTTTGATTTTTGATTTATTATTTAACTTTCCTAATGAATGGTAAGGGTAGAGTAGGAAAAAGAGAATATAAAAAAAACAAAATTGATTAAAAAGTTTTAAAAAACAGAAGGGAGTGTAAGTGGAGAAAAGGGGAGTGGGAAAATCAGCTCCCTTAAACAAATGCACCTTTATCTTTATAATAAACAAGTGTAAAGTGGAAAAAGTAAGAAAGGACTATCTTTATTCTTTAGTCGTCTCAAGTTGCAATGATTTGGCATTGCAATAAAAGTTCTAACTGTGCCTTGCGGGACCTTATTTTGTAAGAAACTAATGTCACTTTGCTTGATTCTATGACGAATTAAGCTTCTTCTTCTTTTTTTCCATTTTTCAAAATGGTATCACTTTGCTTGATTCTGTTTTTTGAAGATGCTTTGATTTTTCTTGTTTGTAATAGTGCCTCCAACACTAAGTCTAATAACTAAAGAGTGTTGCTATTTCTAGGGGTGGGCACTCAAACCGGCGAACCGGAAATCCGAGCCGAACTAAACCCGAAAAAAACCGAGTTGACCAAAAAGTCAACAACCGGTTAAAAACCAAATCGGACTGGTTTGGACCAGTTTTGAATCCAGTTTCATGTCTTCAAAATCGGATCGGGCCGAACCGAATCGGTCAAATTAAAAAATATATAATTTCAATATTTATTTATATTTAATGCTATATTTTTAATCTAATTAATATTTATTCAAGTTCAATTTCAAAATATCTCTCTTTTCTAACTTTAATATTTATTTTTATATGAAATTGAATACTTTGTTAATTTTCAAGTATAAATAAATATATTTTCAGTTGAAAATTGTATAATTTTAAAAAAAATAATTTTAATAATTCGATTCAACCCGAACCGAATCGGAACTAGATCGGAACCGATTCAACCCGAACCAGATAGTTTTTGAAATTTTTTAATTAAAACTGAACCGATTCAAACTGGATGAATAGTACCAGATCGGTTCTAATTTGAGGCAAAAATCGATCCAACCCGAACCGTGCCCACCCCTAGCTATTTCCACCCCCTTGTCCTATTTTCCCACCCACCTTATCTTCCCACCCACCATGTAAATTTGAAAGAACACAAACTTATCTTTCCACCCACCGTTATTCCTGAAATACCCTTTAATTATTAATTCTAGTAAATTCTCTTTGCTAATGATTAGTAATTTTTTTATAAAAAAACATTAATTGTATTTTCATATTTTCCATTACAAGAAAAAAAAAATTTCAATTAGGCCATCCCCACTTAAGTCTCTCCCTCCCCCCCGACCCAAACCTCTCTTCCTTAAAAAATATAAACCCTCAAAACCCAAATAGAACCCATTGTATTTTGATTCCCATGATCATGAATGGTTCTTTGCTTCTCTTTCTCTCTCTTTGATATTCAAAATAAACTATTAATTTTATCTTATTTCCAATTATTCCTTTCAATCAGGAATTCCTTTTTGTCTATTGAGTTCTAAGGCTAGATATGGTTGAAGGTTCTATTGTTTTTGGAAGAAGGAAGTATATTAGGTCTGATTTGAAAACAAATTAGCCAAGTAGAAAAAACTAAAGATTCTAAATTCTAGTCCGGAAGGAAAAGAAAAGGGATTGGATTTCAATATGGCATGAAACTAGACAATAAAAATGGATATTTGAGTTTTAGAGTTTGAGTGGGTTCTGTTCATCCTTTCTGAAGAAAGAAGCGAGACATTAGGTTCCCTTTGTTTTATTTTCCTCGAGTAAAAGTGGCGATGTGTCCTTTTTTAACCCTTAGATTGAATTTTAATGATGTGTCAAGCTCATATTAATAGATAGAGAGAGTTTTAAATTTGTCCTTAAAAGTCATTTTGCAAGGATAAATTTGTTTTTAAAATTTTAAATATAAAGTGGATGAAAAAATAAGACTGGTGAGTGGAAATAGCAGAAGTTTAACTAAAACAAAGGCTGGCTCTGGCCCACTGCAGGCAGGACACGATAGCACAGGACCCCAAAATTGAAGAGCCAACAAAAAATTTCAGTTGGCCCAAATATTTATATATATATATATATATATATATAATGTGGCATGCTAGAGCAAAACTCATTGTGGGAAAGTAAACAGGGCGTATTGAATAAATGGAATATATATAATCTTACCATGTAAATCTTTTTTCTTTTCCTTTACATTTTTGTTTTTACTCTCGTTTCCCTTTTTTCCTGTTCTTTTACAAGAAGGGAAACCAAACGACATTCGCCAGGCCAGCATAACAGAAGCCCAAATACACCCAAATCCAAGAAAAATAGCTATTAGGATGAGGAGATTTTGAAAGTGCCAGCTGCACCAAACTTCATATGTCTTTCAAGGTAAACATTATCAACACTACCACCACCATCATCATCATCATAATCATCATCAACACCGTCGCCACCATCACCTCCAACATAATCAGAGTCGTAATAGTAATCATCATTGTCGTCATCGTCATCATCATCAGAGGCACGAATACATTCTGCTGGGCAATTTTCTTTGGCAAGAATGTTGACTTGACAGTGGTATGAGATTTCAATCAAGGTGATACCATCAAGTGGAATTTTTTTCCATGGTGCTCCATCAATCCTCATGTTCACAACCTCAGCTGCACCCTCCAAAAACTCAAAGCGAATTCCCCGTACCTAACAGTAGGGTGGCAGGAGGAGGAAGCATAATTAATCATCTCTTTGAATCATATGCAAAAGAGCAAATAAGAGTTATTCGTTGGTGACTATATTTGGAGAATTTGGAATTAAACTAGTTAGAAATGCTGTCCAACTTGAAAGATAAAGAGCTACTTAACTATGCATTACATACGGGACTGAAATAATTGAAACAAAGGAGATCCAAGATGGATAGTTGGACACAAAAAGCAAAGAACCAAATCAAAATGATGTATGACCTGATCAAGGCGAATCCAATGTTCATTCTGAGGAAGAAAAACATCCTTGAAACCAATAATTTCAAGATGTCCATCATCTATGAAAGAAGGGGTCAGGTGCCTCTGCAATTCAATTTAACAAACAGAAATTTAACCAACATGTAAAAAGCAATGCCGGCTGACGAGAACTTGATTGTAAATGCCAATCACAGAAAAAGATAGCCGTACATACCACAAAAATAAATAAGAAAAGTAAAAAGAAACTCACATTTTCATTTTCCTTCACATTTTTTATTCCCCATGGTTTTAGTCCACCATGAAAGATAGGCAAGTTAAGACATAAAATTGACTTGATGCTGCACACCAGAAAAACATCAACTTAGAATGCTGATACTAAGTCTCTACTGTCCATATGTGCTTGTATGGATAAATGTTTTGTTGATATCAATAAACACAGTAAAAAATGAAATTAGACAAAAGAATAATCATTTTAAGATGCAAGTGCCTAAGTACTTAAAAGCAACAAGATAAGGTGAATTAATGTAAATAAAGATAACTTACCTACTAGGAATGTCAAGCCTTTCCCATTGATCAAGATGCCTCATAACCTTTACTTTTGCAAGTGAGGTTAAGGTCCTGTTGGGGGAAGAAAATTAATACTAAATAAGAATACACTAATAACAAATAACATTAAAGTACTAGGATTGAATAACAGTGATTATTCAGAATAACATTATGTCTCCAATTGGCTCTATATAAAATTATCAAGCTTTTGGTAAAGGTAACTAGAAAATCATAAATAGAAAAAGCAACTTCACAATGAAAGCACTAAGTACTATCTGAATAAGATCTCGCTACTCCAAAACTTAGGCATACAAAGTTCATTCACTTCAATTGGTATACCTTGCAGTAGGATGAAAGCAGTTAGCTTGATACCATCTTGGAGCATGAACTCCTATAGAAAAATGAAAAAAGCCAAAGTTTTGTTGAAGGAATCTATTTATACTCTGTTATTTAACAAATATGAAGATTTAATATCATTATAGTGAAATATCATAATGCGATATCCAAACCCAAAAAAATAGGGGTCAGATCGTTGGGTTTGAGGCTATTTATACTCCTATGTGAAATATCATTATATAAATTATTTATCTATGTTTGTATACGTATGAATGTATACATGTACTAATGCATGAAAAATGGAAAAGAAAGAGAGAAGTATAAAGAACCTGGCCATCTAACAGAGAACTGTAAAATTGGCCAAGGGAGAAACTCTTACCCAAGCTGAAGTAGTTCCAAAATCCACCGCAGTAAGTGAGATTATCCTAAGAAAAAAAAAGTGAAAAAAAGAAGAAATTTAAAAAAATAATGAAAAGACGAAGAATCTTGTAAGCAGGATGTCTATGTGCAGTACAGATTTCAAAAAGGAAAATTATTATCTTGTGTTTAAAAAATGTGCAAACACCACTAAACTGTCTGGAGAAAGACGCCCAGAAAGCCGACCAAAACCGAACTTTATCCCATAACTCCTCAACCTCCACACCAACAAAATCTTCAAAGACCCTTTCATTTCTCTCCAACCAAACCATCCAAAACACATCCAGAACCAGAAAACCCCACATGCCTTTGGACTTCTTAATCTTGCATATAATTTTATAGCAGTCCCTTGGCATAACCCAACTACACATTCTCACTTACTAAACCATTCACATCTTAAGTTAAAAGTGTGATGAAATTCCCTATATTCACTGTTACATCATTCACTGAAAGAAGAGGGAGATATTGATGCAGTGTCTGTAAACCGATAGAGTTGAAAGGAAAAACAAAGAATTGAGCATTTTGTTACCGTGTTTCGATTATCCCCCTTGTCAACAGAATCAAATAAATGCAGAAAATGTGGTATTTCATGAGGAGCTGCAAAACTTCGAGTGGCTTTCATCCTAATGACAATGTGCCAGCTGAAATCCAACAAATGGACAAATAAGATTGCCATTCTACCACAAGCATGCAGCAAAAATTCAAGGCGGATAAATACATAAGTTTCTCTTTCAAAGTACTCACATCCATATTTTTTTATGAAATCATAATACAATGTACAAAAACTCTGAACAAGAGGTGCACCTTCATCTTTTTATGGGATCATCAAAACATAACCCAATTACAAATTTCAAACTCTGTTGCCTTATGCAAACACTCTCATCCTATACCTACCCCAAAAGCAGCCCCCTAGTCTAGTAAAGTACACAAAAGGAAAGATCCCTAAATGCTGGAGACACTGAAGCCCATAAGGATGCCAAAAACCCAACTTTATCCCAACACGTCAATTAATCACATCCATAGTGTCCTACTAATAAAAGTTACTTTGGAGAGGACATCATTCACAAACAACAAAAAAGATGAAAGAAGAGACCATGTATGTCAACCCTATCGTTGTGGTAGGATTGGATTGAGACTGTGGATCAGATTTCTTTTTTGTAATTAGTTCCCTATTTTTTGTACTGGTTCCCTAGTTTCATTACTTTCCTATCAGATTGGAACCTCTACATGTTCCATTGGGGATTAGAAAATACAAATTCCACTACCTGTCTGTTTTCATCTGTTTTGTATATTTTACATCAACCAGAGCATCAACCGCCGATCCTCCATCAGCTGATTTCTGGAAATTATCAACCAGCTTGATTACGAAACAGATGCATGATTAAAATACTGCAAGAAACATATGAAACAGAGTGTGCCTGTGCATGTGTGTGTGAGTGCGTGTCTGTGTATGCATATAATAGTTATGAAACTATGCAAATTATGTGCTGGCTCCTTGTGTAGATAAGAGGGAAGCAACAAACTGCATATTTTTTCTTCGAAAATAAGAAAAACGGCGTATTTCGTGCTATCAGTCAATATATAGCATGCTCCTTGGTCTATCACATGTCAGCTTCGGCCTAGTAAGTATCTGACATGGATATCCTATTGAAAACACTAGCAGGAACTTTCAAGTTCATCTTGTCTAGATAAACAAACAGATTTCCTACCCATCCAAAAGAAGATGCCATGTTATTTTCAGTTCCCATTGGTATCAGAGCAATGGAGGGTGACTCGGGCAATTTTAGATCACAGATGATTCCCAAAATCCAGTTAGCCAGAGCATCCCCACCAACAACCTGAGAAGAAATATCTGTTAGAAACATTGCCACTGCACCCCAAAAAATTTAATTAAAGAACGGAATAGTTAAATTTCACAAAAATTCATAAAAAGAAGAAAAAAATGGTTCAGACCCATTGCCTATATCTACAGGGATAGATTAAACACATTACTCACTATAATTCTCATCCTCTTTTGAATTTCATAAGCAAAATGATACCCTTCACGCTTAAGCTTTTCTAGAATACCATAAAACTCAGTTAGCACCCTCTCAGGATTCTCTGGCTTTCCTTTTTGCTCAGAATCAGAATTCTCATCCAGCACAGCATAAACCTAGAAAGGAAGTACAGTCTTCAACAAACTTTAATCAAAGTTGAAAAAGCATGCATTTATTTAGGTGGCCTCTTTCAAGGAGCAGCATTTAACAGGAAAAGGAAAAATTACCTGCTTTTTATTAAGATGGTAGCAAAAATCATCAAAGAGTCTTTCTCCAAGATTTTTATTATTTATATCAATAAACACTAACACTGGGCATTCTGGTACATGGACAGCAGTTTCAACATCCAAATCAGGCTTAAGCAATTCATCAGGTATGTATGTCTCCTTGAAGAAGCGTTCCCTCCTACAAAAACTCAAATAAAATATTTCAATCACCCTTTTTTTTTCCCGTTCGAATTCAATCACCATATTTATTTCCTTCTTCATACGGGATAATCTTATATAAGAGATTCAAGATAGAGAAGGGTAAGGACTTAGCAGCTAAAGAAAGTTTAAGCACCGTATGTTCTAATACTAACCACTACACTACTACTATCCTTAAGAACAGATAAATTGAATATAACATGTAGGACTAGATTGAAAACAAAGAAGTTTAACTGTAATGCAAAAGAACAAAAAACCAGAATACAAAAGAAAGGTGAGAAGAATACTCGATTTCACGAATCTGTTCGGGAATGATTTGTGCGAGTGTCTTAGCAGCCAACGGCAGACCATGGCATTGATCCTTTATTTCATTCTCAATCTCTTCCAAAATTTCCTGACTTGATTTGCTAAAAACTTCATTCTTAATAGAGTCCTTGTATATATGCCAGCAACTTTCTCTATCCAAAGGCTTAACGAGAATCAAGTTATTTTCCCCCACCATATCTTGAGCCACTTCCGTTATCCTACTGGTGACAATGACCGCCCCGCCACTCCCCTTCGGCAATCCGTGGGCTAACCGACACTCCATTCCTTCATCTTGCGGAAGTGCATAACATAAATCCGAATAGAAGTCGTTCTTGTGCCACACATCATCCAACACAATCAGATACCTTTTATCCATTAATTGTCGATGGAGCTCATCCAAGAGCTTATCAACAACAAGCTCCCTAGCAGGGCTATCACTGACCCTATCCGAGATCTTATCCAGAACAGCCTTCCTAGCATTTACATCTACATGTCGATCTAAAGCATACAACAGCTTATCAATAACACGCATCCTAGCATCTACTTCTACATCTCGATTGAGCCTTTCACCCGATAAATTTTCAAGAATGCAAGTCACAATGCTGAACCCAGTATTTACTTGTAATATTTCTTCGCTTATATCCGACAAGCACAACCAAATGACAGGAGAAAACTCATCCCAAACTCTATCACTAAACAAAACTTTTTGTACAAGAGCGGTCTTACCAACGCCGGCAATGCCGACGATCCCGATTGCCGTAAACCCAGCAACGCCGCCGAACAACAAGCCCTCAATCTTCTCTGCCTGCTCATCAAAACCCAAAACTTGCTTTGGCTGTAACATGAATTCGGCCCGATCCTTCCTCCTGTTCCCGGGAATTTTGCGGCCCAAGTAACGACCTTCGATCATGGGCTGCGTTTCTCTGTGGCTTCTCATACCCTCAGCAAACGTCCCCTTGATTGTGGCCAGCCGCTTCTTCATCTTTCGGATGAAATAAGTCCTGAAAGGGTTGAGGAGCAGACACTTCTTGTTGACCTTCTTCCACTCATGTGCGAAGATTCGGCACTCGGCCAACAGGTCGTTGAGCTCGTAAAGCCCATAGATAGCTTGAGGGTGTGAACAATCACCATAAAGGACCGCCCTTCTTATCAGTTTCACCAATTCTTTGATTTCTTCGAAGTAAGAAATGGGAATGAAACCTGATAACTCAGACTCTGCCTCTGCAACATTCTTCCATAACTTTTTCCGAAGAAACAGAGCACCATCCGCTGCCATTTTTGTGAAACCGAGTGAGTGGTAGTACTGACGGTCAGGGACGGATCAGGAATTTTCCTTCTAGGGTCAACGTTCAAAAGGTTAAAAAATTTCTATACAAAATAAACCCATAACTAACTAAAATTAAAATGATAAATTATCATTTATCTTCTATATATCTTATCTATTCTAGGGGCTTTCTCCATTACGGATTACTAATTTGCGAATTGAATACGGATTTCTATTTGGAACCGTTAGATGTCATTGGCGGTGGAGATTTAAAATAAAAGGCAAAACATAAAAAATACCCCTTTGCACCGCCATTTGAGAAACAAAGAAACAACAGGCAGACCCATCCAATCCAGGAGACCCGTGCTTCTCTATCGTCTTTCCCACCAAAGAAACATTTACCTGCATTTCTCTGGCAAAATTCTTCAGGTAGGTTTGTGGAGTTGATGGGTTTATGGTTTGGACTGTTGGGATTGTGGCTTGGACTGTTGGGATTTTATTATTCTTCTTCTTGTGCTTGTGGGTTTGTGGCGTTGATGGTTTTTTTTTTTTGGTTTTGGAATAAAAAAATAGAACATTATCACTCAAGGTGGAGGTAGGCCATCGCTTGTCAATACCAGCACCAAAGAGGGAGGAGGCTGTGAAGCCTGGGTTTTGGGTCATTTGGGACTTGGTGTCTTCTGCGTCTAATTCCATCGGTACAAGGAAAAAAGAAAGTGAAAAAACTGTTGAGAGACTCTTTTGAGAGATTTGAGGAGAGGTTGGTGCCTCTTGGGTTTGCTGCCAGAAAAAATAAAAATAAAAACTAGAGAAAAATTAACTCTTGTGGAGAAGCTCTTGTTGTTTGCTGTCAGTGACTACACTTTAATTTAGTTTGGTGTGAACTATTTTGGTTCTCAAATTCTGTTCTTTGAGCCATTGCCCCTTGGAATGGAGTAAAGCTTGGAGCAGAATTCTTCAGGTGGGAGAGAGAACTCTGAAATGCACGAGGAAGAAATGTTTCTTTGGTGGGAAATACGAAAGAGAAGCACAGGTCTCCTGGATTGGATGGGTCTGCCTGTTGTTTCTTTGTTTCTCAAATGGTGGTGCAAAGGGGTATTTTTTATGTTTTGCTTTTTATGTTAAATCTCCACCGCCAATGACATCTAACGGTTCCAAATAGAAATCCGCAAAAACAAAAGGTAGAGAATTGTGAAATATTCAAAAATTTCGAATATGCCCTTTATCAAAGAAAAAATTAAAAGCACACAATTTTAATTAAAAGATGGTGAAATAGTAAAACACCACTGATTTTATTTTTTTAGAAAAAAGAAAAAAAATATAGAGTCGTGCTGTGCGACTCACAGGAGAAGGGTGAAGAACAGTTTAACCCATGGTTGCTTAGAAAAGAAGAAGAGCTGAAGAACGTGGAGAAAAATTCCACGGGTTCAAAACCCACGAAGCTGGCGGTTTCCACAATTTCAGAACCCATCACCACCATGTTACTTATATTTTCTTCGTCCACTTTACCGGCACCCTTTTCTGCTTCAAAAATCGAAATCGCGAGTAACCACCCAGGAACTCCCAGTGTAAAGACTGGTCAGACCCAAAAACCTTCCTTTCTCATTCCGCACCACCCCTCAGTATAGAAAGCTTCGTGTGTTTGCGTCTCAGTTGTTTCAGTGCATTTTCCAGTACAACCATGGCTTCTTTCGGCTCTACCCGACGCGAAGAAGATTCGATAAACAAATTTTCTAAATTCCATACCCTCTACAATACATATATGTGTATATTTTCTCCGTTTCGTTTCTCAGAAAGGAATTTTTTTCTTCGAAAAATTAGGAATGAAACATTGAGCTTCATGTACCGCATCCTTTTGCTCTTGAAATTCATTTTCCTTCATCTTTTTTGTATGTCTAATGTTTAAATTCCAAATTTTAGTTGGTTTTTTGAATTGGGTAATTGTTGTTGTTGGAGAATTGGATTAGATTTTATTTCTTTGTACCATTCTCTCTCTCTCTCATTTTTGGTTCCTCGTGGAATTTTTGCTTCAATTTCTGCTCTTTTTGGTTCAAAGAAGAAAGCATTTAGGTTTGATATGTTTACTATCTCTAATTTTTGGATCCTAATGGGATTTCTTTGATTATATATGCTGTTTCTCCAGAGCACCAATGAAGAAAGCATTTAGATTTGATGGGTTTGATGTCAACGGTATGAATCTCTCTCTCTCATTTTGTTTTTGTTTTTGGTTCACCAAATGGTTTTCATCTATTCTGATTTTCTGATTTTCAAATTATTTTTCGGGGATTAATGGAGATGATGTGGCTTATAGAATCAAAGCACGATAGGTAAAATGGAGGGTTTTGTTAAGCATATATATAGTGTGATCATCATATTTTGCTAGAATTGAAAGAAAGCTAAGTTTATAGAACATCTGTTAGACCAGCCATGCTATATGAGACCGAATGCTGGACAGTTAGAAAACAGACATATTCATAGTTCCTGTAGGTACATATTAGCCAAATGTTACAACCAGCGCAGTGATATGCACACCTCTATCTCTCTCTCTCTCTGTGAAAATAGATGCTCATTGAGCAACCCACAATCTAACAGTGGGATCTTTACTTCTCTCTCTCTCAAATTTTTGTTTCCTGATGGAATTTTTGCTTCAATTTCTGCTCTTTTTGGTTCAATGAAGAAAGCATTTAGGTTTGATCTGTTTACTATCTCTAATTTTTGGATTCTAATGGAATTTCTTTGATTATATATGCTGTTTCTCTAGAGCACCAATGAAGAAAGCATTTAGATTTGATGGGTTTGATGTCAATGGTATGAATCTCTCTCTCTCATTTTGGTTTTGTTTTTGGTTCACCAAATGGTTTTCATCTATTTTGATTTTCTGATTTTTTAATTATTTTTCGGGGATTAATCTCTCTCTCTCTCTCTCTCTCTCTCTCTCTCTCTGAAAATAGATGCTCATTGAGCGACCCACAATCTAACAGTGTGATCTTTACTTCTCTCTCTCTCTCTCTCTCTCTCTCTCTCTCTCTCTTTTTTGGTTCCTGATGGAATTTTTGCTTCAATTTCTGCTCTTTGTTGGCTTGGCTTGGCATTTCCCTTTTTTAAGAATCTATTTCATTTGTTTTAACCTTTCCCTTTATCCTTTTTTTATCCTAATAATTAGGTTTTTCTAATCTTGGCTGCATTGTAGTTGTTTGCCCTTTTGCTGGTGATTCGGGGCTCTCTAATCTTGGCTCCATTTGTCAACGGCTGTGATGGCAGAGTCAGACACGACAGTATCTATAGCGTGAGAAAACTAAACAGATCAAACCAAAGTAATTTTCTTTTTTAGTTACACTATTAGAATTCTGAAACTTTATTTACTTCAATTTGGGTAATTTTCATCGTAGAATTTGATTGGTTGTATTTTGAGGTTCTCTCATTATTTGGTTATTGTAGTTCATTCCAATTACTGTTTTTTTTCCTTTCTTGCTTTTCAAATTTGTAGATTGTGTAATTTTACAATTTCTCTTGCTTCTAATTTTTTCCATTTTTCCTATTGTAGGCGCATAAATTGCAAGGAAGGTTCACATCACAGCATTGGTTATTGAAAAGTGAAAAGGAGTATGGATACATGTAAAAAAACAAATAAAGGAAATTTGTACTGGATAATTTGTCTTTGTGCCAAAATAATGAGTTGCTTAGGTGAAATACAAATATGTTTTTATTATTTGATTGTGTCTTCTGAGGGGTGGTGCCAAGTTTTGCGTTATTCATTGTGAAAGGAAAATCTCTTTGAGAAACCAAAGTAATTTTATATTTATTCTTTTCTTAATAATGGAAGCAAATTTAACCTTTTGGTGAACTGTAATTCTAATATATTACACCACCTAACCTCACCATTTAGCTAACCCCATGGGCTTCAAAATTGGTGTTTATATTACTGGGATGCTTACACAAGCTTGAATTTATAAAAACAATAACATGACAGTTAATATAAAAAGATATAACGGGTGGCGCAAGTGGTCTTGATTGTTGCATGTCTTCCTCCTATGTGCATTTTATGTAAATATTTATGTGCATAATCTAAAACAACGATGTTGTGTAGAACGAAAATATTATTTTACTTAAATTATTTCATATTTTTCCTATTAATGTTGGATTTGCTTTGGATAATATTAACATGTGGCTAATTAATTGAATACTAGCCTCCCTGCATGCGCTTCCGCGTATGCGAGAGGCTCTTTTTTCAATCACGCGCGCTACACGCGACTTACAAAGTTTCGTAAATATTTTTTTCGCAATTGGATTTATTTAGATGTCCGTTTCAACAGTTTCATATTTTAATCGCGCTCGTGTGATAAATCGTCGTCTTAAAAGTTTTCCTTTATCGCCCGTATTTTTCTGGAAGTCCATCTTAGTAGTTTCTATTTTTTCTTTTATAGCATGTAAATTGTTAAGATGAACGTCTAGAAAAATACGTGCGATACAGGAAAACTCTTAAGACAACGATTTATCACACGCGCGAGATTAATATATGAAAATGTTGAAACGGCCATCTATATAAATACAATTGCGAAAAAATATTTACGAAATTTTGAAAGTCGCCCGTAACGCGCGTGATTAAAAAAAAGCCTCTCACATGCGCAGAAGCGCGTGCAAGGATTCTATGGCATGTTTACTAATCCGGAATTGAATTATGGGGAAATGAATTGAGGATGAATTGAATTGAGGAGGAGTTGGATTGAGGAGAATTAGATTCCGGATTCCTAATGAAGTTGTTTACTAAACCATATGAATTGAGGGGAATTAGATTCCGAATTCCTATTGAAGTTGTTTACTAAACCATAAGGAATTGGGGTATAAGTGGTAATAATTACTAAAATGTCCTCATTTTTTGGTTAAAGTAGATGGTGTATTTGGAATTTTGAAAATTGTGTGAGGATATAATGGGTAAAAAAGATGAATTCCTAATGGGTGAATTCTCCAGGAATTAGAATACCACCTCCCATTCAGTAATTGAATTCCTCCAAAATCAGGAATTCAATTCCTAATTTTGTGTGGGCCCCGCTTACTTTTTCAATTCCTTATGTGAAGTAAACGCAGGAATTCTCTATAAGCGGAATTCAATTCCTGATGAGAATTCCAATTCCTGATTAGTAAACATGCCACTAGTGTATATTATTACCCCTCTCTCGCGTCACCATCTGCCAACTGGCTATGATAATTGGAGTTCAATCCAGTGCAGCAGAGATGACTCGTGGAGTTGACGGTTGACTTGTCTATCTGCCAAAGCCCTTTTCATTTCTACCATTGCAATTTGTTTGCAATTTGCAAATGATAAACATAAAAAATTAAAATGTCAAGCTCAGCAAGAGATCCAGAGAAATTCATGCCCATGTTGCTGGCTCGTCTGAGAAAAGCCAGGGACATCGCCAACACAGACGACGAAGGGGTTCTAAACAGTTTCAAAAACATGGAGCAGGAGCTCGAAAGCATGAAAGATTTGGTACCCAGAGTGAAGCACTGGGAGAAAACTCTGTTCAACCAACTCAACGCCTTAGAACGCCGGCTTGACAAGATCATAATAGGAACTGAGACCAGCGCCGAGGCCATCGCAGGAGCGCTCGACGGCATGGCCGGATATGTGGAGCAAATCAAAGTCTCAATCCCCCAAGTAAGAAAGTTGATGCCTTGCCCTGAACAGAGCCCAGAGCCATGGACGCGCAGGTCCGAGCCCAAGTGGCTTCCGGCGCAGAGAATGTCACGGCACTGGTCACAGCTGCGACTGGAGGACCGCATTCACAAAAGCGCTGCCATGCTTGATATAAATTTGAGCTATGAACGTCTTGAGAGCAATGAACTGAAGATGTGCTTGCTCTCCTTCTCAATCTTCCCTGAAGATTCTGTGATAAAGAAGAGGCCTTTGATTTACTGGTGGATTGGGGAAGGCTTCATCAGAAGCACTCAAGACCAAACAGCAGAAAAGGTAGGTGAAGAAGTGTTTGAAAACTTGTTGACGCGGGGCTTAATTCAATCACATTGTAGATTACTGAATGCACCCACATCTGCAGTTGTGAATAGCTGTACCATGCACCCTTGGGTTCGTCACGTGGTGATCTCCTTAGCCGAGAGCGCTGAACTCTTCGACTTTGAACCGCGATGGCCGAGGATGCCATCTTATAAAACCTCGAATTGTAGGCGGGCATGTTTAGTTTTTGATAACCCAATTTCTCAGGCTGAGAATGCCCCCAACCTATTGACATTGTTCAATTTAAACGATCATTATCTGAGCTTAAAGCCCGAATGGCTTGCTAAGTTAAAGAAGGTTGAGGTTCTTCAGCTGGGGCGGTGGCAGAGCTCCCCTACGCATCACATTGAAGTGGATGATGAGGGGTTCTTGAAGGGTTTGGGGCCTCAGAATATGTTCTTGAAGTATCTTAGCCTCCGAGGAATATCAACCATTACGCAACTCCCTTCTTGCATCTTTAAACTTGTCAGCCTTGAAATTCTTGATCTGAGAGCATGTCACAACTTAGAGACCTTGCCTTCAGATATCTCATCATTGAGGAAGCTCACGCATTTGGATGTCTCAGAATGTTACTTGCTAGAAGGCATGCCAAAAGGGATTGAAAAACTTTGTTCCCTCCAAGTTCTCAAAGGTTTTCTCGTGGGAAATCGGAAAACTACTCCCTGCAAACTTCCTGATCTTGCCAAGTTGAAGAAACTCAAGCGCCTCAGCATATACATAGGAAGTGAGGCCACAGTCGAAGACAGGGACTTCAAATCTTTGAAGCACATTTCGTCCCTTTGCCACCTCAAAATATCATGGGCAGTGGTTTCTCCAAAGTTAAAAGAAAAAATTGCCTTGCAGTCCAGGGACTTTTCATTGCCACACTCTCTGGAAAAATTGGATCTTCAAGCCTTCCCTTTGCCATTTCTACCGGACTGGTTGAAGCCTAGCCGACTGCAAAAATTGAAGAAGCTCTATATAAGGGGTGGGGAACTTGATAACTTGGATCAGTGTGAAAAGGGCATGTGGACAGTGGAAATCTTGCGCCTCAAGTACTTGAGGAACATGAAAATAAGATGGCCAGAGTTGAAGGAATTGTTTCCTCATCTGCGGTACTTGGAGAAGATCAACTGTAATGAGATTGAAAAGGACATTGTTTGGTGCAAAGCTCAAGGTTAAATATCAAGCAAGTTAATGCTACAATAAAGTTAGTCAAAGAATCAATCTCTGGAGTAAGTAGTTGAATGCTGTTCTACTTTACTCGGGGTTTGAATTTGATAATTATATGTGAAGCTTGTTGGTTCTCCAGTGCAGGGGATTAGTTTCTCAGTCGATGTTTTGAGTTGTGAATTATTTGGCTCCAACTTTCCACTCATCCTCTGTATCTTGTTCTTGGCTGCAACATGTTATAAATAAGTGCCCTCCTGTTGAGTGCACACATCAATCTCTTTGCAATATGCAAGAACAGAGGAGTTTTCCAACCACACCCCTTTCTATACAATGACAACTCTGTTTAAACTTATATGGAGATTTTATTTATACTGTGAAATTCAAGAAAGCAAACGTTTTACAACCTCATGTATGAAGCTCTCTTCACCAAGGCTGTTGTGGGGCATTCTAAGCCACCATATTTTTTTCTGGGTGGTTTCCTTTCAGAGAGGAATTGCATTGGTTTGATGCTGGAATTACGCATGGCCTACACTAATACAGTCACCTTATTTAGTCTCAAGGATCTTCAAGACATAATGCCATACAGGTCCAGCAAACTGCTCGCTGACGATTTATGGGAGTTCATCCTCTTTCAGTTGAAAAGTAATACATTCTTGCAGATGATCCTGAAAAGGGCTTGCAAAAGGGAAAAGACCCTTTGTGTTGTTCATCCGGCTACACGGGTTAGTGTTTTTAGTTATTTATGCTTGAAGGCTTACATGCTCCCCTATGCCAAATGAGCAAACAAAAATCTCCACCTTTGCTCAGCAATTGTGCATGGTCATTTGCTCGGCAATGACTTGCAGTATATTGTATATTGCAAGAGAGGTCCCTTGGTGAGTGTGAATTCTCTAACTGTCACTTGATAGGCATGGAAAAGCTTCAGCCTTAATTGTATATTCTCGCTCGCATACTGATTTTCAAGTCCACAATTCCCACTAGGATACTATCTCCTTAGTTCTCAGATCTTGAAGATAATATATTTTTCTACAGTTTTTTATTTATTCATAGTCGGATTCACTTTCCTCTCTTTCTTTTTTATTTTTCTACAGTTCTTGAAGATAATATATTTTTCTACAGTTTTTTATTTATTCATAGTCGGATTCCATCCATGGAAAGGTAAACAATAATTTTTAATTATTATAGATTTTAGCTCCATCCATCCAAAGTACAAACCCATGTGCTAATTAATATAAAAAGAAAACGAATCTTCTACTTCTCGCTGCACCCATGTGCTAATGTTTCAAGATATATAACCATATCTAACCTTGACAAAACTAAAATTGCCTCAGTTGCCCTTTCTTCTCTTTCTTTTTTATGACCAAAAAGAGAAGAACTTTTGTTTCTACTTTGGTGTTTTCCTTGCTTTATTCGTCATATTGGTCATATTGGGACCATGAGAAGCACAATAATTGTTCATCTTGCAGGAATGGGAGAGCTCTAATTTTTAATATTATCTCCTCAAAATTTAATGATATAATTTTATATGCTTTTTATTCTTGTCATGTATACAAAAGTTGAAAGATGATAAGTACTTCGGGTCTTTCTCAAGCTTTTATCGTGTTCTTTGGTCCGGTCAAGCTGCAATTATTTGAAGGGATGTAATCTTGGCATCACCACAAGAGCAATCCAAATGTGTCTTGCGGGACCTTATTTTGTTAGAACTTTACATTTTTATTGGTTGTGGCAAAAGGAGGGAAAGCGAAAACTGTTCAACACCAATGCCAAGGATGTGTGATGATGGCAATGCTCGATCTCTGACGATGAGGGAATTGTTCAACTATGGGTTCAATTGAAAGTTGAGTTGGGCTTGGTTGACAAACGAAAGAGGATTGACTCCCGTGAGATTACTTAGCCCAACCGGTTGTTTGTGTAGAATACCTTGTGGTATGGCTTTGCACTGCTCTTGACTCCTTATCAAGCTATTGTGCTTCGAGAGGTGTACTGGCTCAGATAGGTTCTTTTCTATGCCTCAGTTAAGAGGACTTTACTATTCTTTCAATCTTGCATTTGTGACTTGGAAGATACGAATGGTACCTAGCCAAAATAGAAAAACCAATGTTATGGTTAGTGCTTCCTTGATTGGGCTCACAAAACCTAAATTGAGCCCAAGATAATCCTAGATTGGGGTTAATATTTAATGAAATCAGGCCTAAGATTATGATTCGGGCCTATGGGAACCCAATCGGGCCCAAGTAAACACCTTGTTTTTGGGCCCAAATGCCCTGGATTGGACCTAAAAGCCCTATTCGAGTCTGTCCAGCAATAAACAGTTATAATACTTGTAAAGTAAATGGCAAATAAAGTATATTACTGAAATGTAAATGACATTAAAATAAAAATCTCAAGACTAGAGATTTCTCTATCTAATATGGATATGATACGAATATTTAAACAAAATGGCTAAAGATTTCTCAATTTAGCCGTTAATGAACATATCGAAATAACATAGAAGACTCGAGATTTCTCTATCCAGTTTGTTACAAGTGTTTTAGCTATTTGACAGGGAGCTAGCCTAAGTTTTTAACAAAATCATACCAAGACAATGGCAGAGCAATAAAAGATAATTGCAGGAGTTGTCAAATGGTTATCTTGGAGGTAAGAAGGCTTTTTAAAATCTTGAAGGTCATTCAAGTATTTTAGAGACATTGCGTCTGAATTTGGAGAGAGAGTCCTGAAACTGATGATCTCTCTTTCTATTTATAGGCTTCTTAGGTCTTCTAACTGGCACAGGATCAAATGAGTTTTGATAAGGGAAGAAAAATAGGGACTCGAGTGCTTCAATCCTTGGGTTACTCAAGGACGGCTTGATGGTGACTGTTGGGCGGCTCCTGCAGTTCAAATCACATTCAATGCGGTTGCTTGATCATCTGAAGTTTTCCAGTTGCCGAAGTTGCCATATGGTCCTTTTGTTTGAGTCTTCGCTTCGCGCTTTTGTCTGGGTGATAGCATGTTTGGAAGTTTTCCCAATGTCTCTTCTTTGAGTTAAACAAGGGTGTTTCCGGCCCTAAGAGCATTTCCAGCAGTCAAACACTTGCCATGGCAGGGGGGGGGGGCTAGGGCTGACACTATTCATGTGAATAGCGGCTGCCCTTGCCTTTTTTAGCTATGTGTGTTTCCAACAGTCAAACCCTTGCCATGGCAACTACTATTCATTTTTTTATTTTTTCACAACTTTTTTTACTTAAACAATTATTTTGGATAATATTTTCGGGTAAGATTTTTGGGTTCCTACGTGTCAATACTATTCATATCAGATAAGATTTTCGGAATTTTTTGGATTTGGTGTTGAAAGTGAAGAGTATTGGTAGGTATTTATAGAAAAAAATTCCAGTATTTTTTGGTAATTTTTTAAAAAAATTTTGGAATTTTTTTTCATATTTTTATTGCAAAAATATTGAAAGCCGTTGGATTGGAGAGAAAATAACAATCGGAGCGCCCAGACGACGACACGCAGCCCATTATCATTGGAGCAGTGCAGGGCTGACGTCATCGATGACGTCAGCTTGCCCGAGTTTTGGACCTGGGGCTCGCCTTGCCCTTGGGCCAGCCCAGTTTGCTGGGTCCCACCTTCTGCCCGGGCTAGATTTTGTTGCTGGAAATGGGTTTTTGCTCCAGCCCGCCCCCAGCCCCGCCCCAACCCCTGCTGCTGGACATGCTCTAATTGTTTCATTTCAACCTTTTCACCAATCCACGTGTATTATTTAAAAATGACTATTGACTTCCTGGCTTTGGTGTGGGCTAGGGCCAAAATAGATAAAGGAGAAATGGGCTTAGTATTTAAACTAAGATGTGGCCCGATAGAAGAAATATATATAATTTCAAATTAAAAAATATATATTAAAAATGTTATTTAAAAAAGTGTAGACTACGCTTTAGCAATACATATTAATTTAACATCTTACTCACTATAATTCTCATCTTCTTTTGAATTTCAGAAGTAATACCATAACCTTTGAGCTTAAGCTTTTCTAGAGTACCATAAACATCCTTTAGCACCGTCTTAGGATTATTATATGTCTTGGCTTCACCCAAATTAATATAATCTCTCAGTAGTTTGTGAAGGTGTTTGGCTCAGAAGAATTCTTGCAGATTTGCAGCAGGAGATCAAGTCTTCAAGACAACCATATATTGTGACAATATGTATGCAATTGCAATGACAAAAAATCTAGTCTTTCACAGCATGACTAAGCGCATTGAAAGGAAGTTCAAATGGAGCTTATCAGAGCACCTCCACCCATGTAGGCTAAGGCAAGGCAAGGGCTGCCACTATTCACATGAATAGTACCAGCCTTGCCTTAGTTGGTTCCACCCTTGGAAGGCTAGGGCAAGGGCAAGAAAAAAAAAAAGATTATACAACAAAATATAAACAATTTAGAAAGTGAATAAAATTGTTATGTATTTATAGGGAAAATATCTATAATTTTTTGGTATTTTAAAAAAAAAATTTGAAATTTTTTTGGATTTTTTTTACTCGCTGACGTCAGCGCCTTCGGGCTGCAGCCCAGGCAAGATCTGCCCGTGGGCTTGCCCAGTTCGATGGGACCCACCATTTGCCCGGGCCATTTTTCTTCCGCTGGAGCTGTCTTGGGGGGCCTTTTGCCCAGTCTTGGGTAAAGGCTGGAGGTGATCTCAACACCAACGAACAACTTGCTGATATGTTCACGAAGGCTGTCTCCTCATAAAATTTTGCACGAGCTCGTGATAAGATGAATTTGTGGCAAGGCATTAATTTCAGCAAGAAAGGAAAGCACAGAAGCTCATGATTTTCAAAATTAAGGGGGAGGGTTGAGATTAATTTTGAAAACTTCATTACTAGTTTTCTAATTTCTAGAAAAGTCTTGCTATGTTAATGTGTGTTTAAGAGTTGGATATCAGCTGGAGGTTGAAATTTCGTTCTTGTTCTAGGGAGTTCTCTGTCTTGCTTAAATATGAGCTTCTGTATCTGACTTTAAGTACAAGAAAACAAAAACAGAATTGCAGCCAAAAGTATCATCGTAATCAGCCTCTCTTATCAATCAAAGAAAGAATATTCCGCAATCTAAATCCCATCCTTGTCCCACCTATTTCGCTGCTTTCAAACCCAACAGTTTTTGCAGATTTACCGTATCGTGGTGCCTTACATTATGTCACCCTTGTTGAGAGTATTTGTCCCACATTGAAATGTTAAGAGACCTAGCCTGGGTTTATAAGGAGTTGGGCTACTCCTCCCATTGCCAATTGGTTTTGGGGTGG